TCTTTAGGTTGGGCTGTTTTATTAAACAAAGTTAGCTGAGTACCCCTTTTAGGGGAGGCCCCTGGGCATTACAGCACAATGGTCTGTGTTTCAAAATGGGGAGGGGAGTACTATTGTATTTAAACTAATAAGTGTGATTAATGCTGTATGTATTTTCTTCCAGTATGAGGCCAGTTATAACGGCCCAGTTTAATAATTGATATATCATATTAACTTGTATCAATATTAAGTTTTGAGTCTGATTGACAGAGCTTTGGAAATTGGATGTACTGTTTGTAGCTATTAGAATGGGAGAATCGTACTGCGCACAATGGAAGCTTTACCCCTCTCTTAGAGGGGTTAAATGCACCAGGCACAGGCTGTGGCATTAAACCGCAGTGTGGCTTCTCATGCTTCCTTACTGGACCTAAGATCATAGCTGGGATGTCACCACGTCTGGTCTTGGTGAAGACCCTCCGATAGGTTCAGGAGTAGCGCCTCACAGGCCTGGTCCACAGTGGGTCCGGACTGTCAGCTGAGAGTTATGTGGAAACAAACTCCAGGACCTGGGACTGGGACGCAGTGACCTGGAGAGAGAGGGGCCATCATCGCTGAGCTGGGATTGGCCGCCTTGCAGTAGTGCCTCACTGCTCACTGGCTGCTGTGGGAAAGGGGGAGGAGTCAACCTCAAGGTGGGAAAACCTACCGCAGACAGCTAATCATGTGTAGACGGCTGTTTTTCTGTCCCAAACAATTGCTTATGATAGAAGTGGGGAGTTTACATGGAGCCCCGAGGTTTGGGGGCCCCCTGTTGAACGCAAACATCTTATTTAGGCGATGCTGAAATAGCGTGTTCTGCTAAACAGCTAGCTAGCTACAATCTTCTGACTCTAGTCGCTAGCTATTTATTTAGTTTTTGAAACATCGGGGGGGACTCTTTGAGTGGGTCCCCAGAAACAATAAATGCACACCTGGGCGCAGTTGCAAAGTAACTCTTTACTTTCTAGGCTTCTGGTTCTAGAAAAGTCTGGCCCTTTGCAGGGCGGTGTGGGCCCGGCCAGCTTAACCAGCTTTAGCTCAGTCCTGGTTCTTAAATGGGCAATCTCCTTAAGTGCTTTGCTGAAGGCTGCGTGACACAGTGGGCTGGGGATCGAACCTGTAGCCCAGGGTTGCCTAATTCCGGTCCTTGAGGGCTAGTCTGCAACACGGTTTTTGCAGGGAAATCCAGAGACTGGCCCTCTAGTATCTTCGTAGCATGACTTTGATCACTTAACGTGTTTCCTCCCTGCTGCTCTTGGATCAGAGGTTGCCTTAAGGAGAAGCGTTTGGTCAGTGGACGGTATAGAATGGTTCCCCCCCACCACATGAGGCCTGACCCTAGTGCTGGGCAATAAAACTATCTCGATTTTTTTGTCGATAAAAAATTAGGACGATCACGATGATAACACAGACTATAAAACTCGATCAATTAAGTTTGCTCTGTTTTAGAGAATGCGATGGCCCATCGAGCAGAGGTTTACTGAACGCCAGCACAACAGCCAATCACCGACGACTTTTTTGCCCATCCTCCCTTAAAGAAGCAATGGGTGCGTTTGACTTTGGCTTTAGGTCTGTCTGCAGCTGACGCAACGTGGAGCACGATCTGCCGGCGGCTGCAGGGGTGGAGTATAAACTGACTGCAGCCAAGTCGGACAACTTCTACACTGACTGCAGTGACAGCACTGCCAGAAGGCTGTAGATAATCTATACAAATATCACCTACATGCACATTACTTCTTTTACAATAACCAACTCCTGATACAAACTGTTAGCAGTGAATAAAACTATTGTTTATAGTGGCTCTATGTAAAAAGATAGCTGCCAGGAAAAAGATCAAATACATGTATTTCAAGGATTCAAAGTTTTTATTGTCATGTACAGAGTACAATGCAATTCTTACTCGAATGCCTTCTTCACAGACTGGACGATTTAACAAATAAAGCATCGCAACATTACAGTAACTAACAATAAATAAACCACTAACTTACGTGTACTGCTAGAGCATTTATGTAATTTATTTAAACTTTATTTTACCAGGTAAATGAACTGAAAACCAGTTCTCACTGCTTTACGTGCTTTTCGGGAGAAATAGCAGATTATGCATCGGAACTGCCTGGGATACAAACGTCATGCGTGTAACTAAACTCTTCAGCCAATAAGGGCAAAGTTGTGTCGTCATGGAGGCTGTTCCAGTTTGTTCAGCCGGCTGAGAGGTGCTGTACGATCTGTCTCAAGTCGTCTTGCTCTCGCGAGGATTTTGTACCATGTGACATGGTGACGTGTGGTGACGTTTTGCAGTGCCAGACAAAATAATCTAACCATGATTTGGCATTTTTTTTAAAGTGTTTTTTGTTTGGTTTAGATACTTTTCTACCTCAGAATTTGAAAAAGTTTTTAAGAGACCAAGAATAGAGGAAGATACTTGTTGCAGTCAGTTCTGTCCTGCTTTATTTTATGTTTGCCCTTTAGCATATTTGCAATATTATACAGTTTTGCACATTGTTACATTATTATATGGTTTTCATTTGAGCTATGTTTCTTTGAATACTTGAAAATCAATAACCTATAATTTTAAGGGAATTTTGTATGTCAACAGTAAAATTTGTTGGAAAATAAGTATTTGTTTACTAATATTGTTTATTTCAATGTATTGGGTTATTTTTATTATTATTTTGATTATTACATGGAACAGCATTGTGAAACTATAATATTGATAATTATCGATATCGGTCAATACAGGAAAAAATATTGTGATATTTTTTTTGCCTTATCGCCCAGCTCTACACTGACCCTCTTTCCTACGTTCATTCGCATTATTTGTGAATCGTCGTCGTTTTAGCCTCTTTCCGTGTTTCGCCGGCTGCCTGTTACTCCCTGGCTGTGTCTGTGTCTTCAGGCTATTTCCTTCCACTCCGTAGTGCCGATGTTGCGTAATTTTTATTTTATTTTATTATTATCACCAAAGAACCAGGATATTGGTTTTCTTCAGCATTTTACATTTTGCACAACCACCTCATTTCACAGACGCCTGCATACTTCACTAGGTTTTTACATGCCGCCAACGACGGGTGCCAGTCGTTGCGTAAAAGTAAAACTTGACCTGATGTCTTCTAAATATTTAAATGTAATATTTTGATAACCTGTCTCGATTGCGTCATCCTTGGCTGTAGTCCAGAAATAAACATCCTGGTATACTGAGTGCATCGCGCTCCTGGCCACATGCCCTGTGTTTCCTGGGACAGGCTCTAGGACAGGGTTCTTCAACTCTGGACCTCGATTCCAAATCCAGGCCGTGTTTTCAGTTCTCCCAGGTAGTTGTTTAATAATTACTGATTCTGATTGGTCAGGGGCTTCACACCTGACTGACAGGTAAAGGAAGGCTGGAAAACCAGCAGTGCTCGGACCTCGAGGACCGTGAGTTGAAGAACCCTGCTCTAGGCAAACCATAGCGCCGTACTGGCTAAGCCATCATGGGAGAGGGATGGATGACATTATATTTTAGCTCAATATGTTTGGACAAATGCAATATTTCTTTACACCTGGTGCTGGATGATGGTGTCGTCCTCATCTCAGTTTCTGATTGTCCATCAGCAGTCTGGGCTTACAGTGAGGTTTTGGATCAAAAGCAGCCTTTCCTTAATATAGACATCGATTAAGAAGCAGGAAATGGCAGACACGCAAAACTCGGGCCATGACCGAATGTAGTCTAAGCTATCGGGGGGGCTGCTGTACACCGCCGCCTCCTGGGGGTAGGCCCGTTTACCGGTTACCTTCCCAGCATTCCCCTCACTCCGTGTGTGTTTATGTAAATATATAACCAAAGCCTGATGTGTATTATGTGATCTGCTTTATGTCTGACCTGGGCTAAGCTGTCACCTGGATCATAACTGCTGGCCTGCATTTAGGTCAGTGACCCAGTGACACGGCACAGTGTAGACTGCAGTGGTTTGTCTGTGGAGGTGGAGTGTTGTCAGAGAAACGTAAAAAAAAAAATAATCATTGCTGTGTGTTTTAGTGGGTTAGGAGTTTACCGGTTCAAATCCCAGGGTCAGCAGAATGAGTTCACTGTTGATCCCTAGAGCAAGACCTTTAACCCCCAACTGTTCCAGGGATCCGGGGCGCAGTAAAGGAGGGGACAGGTAGGACGGTTCCAAGGACCCCTGAGCGACAGGGGTCCTAAAAAAATTTGAAACATATTACAATTGTTCTGGTTTGGAGGTCCAGTTTGCTATGCTTTCATGGGGCCCAAAACCTCTAATGGCACCCTTGCCGGGGACTGGTTGACCCTGCTTTCTCAGTTGTACGTTGCTTTGGATAATAGCATCAACTAAATAAATAAATAAAATCTTCCAACCCCTTGTCCAGTATAAAGTCGCAGTGAGCCTGTTGGCTATAAGAAGTAACATGCAGATGCAAACTTTGGATTCGAACCCCCAACCCTCGAGGTGTGAGGTCACTGCTACCCAGGTAGGCACTGTGCTGGTCTCATGCCCAGTTTTTATTTTGTAATGCTGGAAATCAACCAAAGTGTAGAACAAGTTAAACCTTCCCTGCGCAGGTGAGGGCCCAATCAAATACAGCTGAGAGTTACGTGGAAGCAAACTCTAGGAGAAAGACAGGTGTTGGTGTGTAGGACCTTCCCGGTGGAGCCTCCTGCTTCCTCGTCGTTTCTGCCACCGCTGGGTGATAGATGAGTGTCCTGATGCACAGTAACCTCTCTCCATGTGAAAATCTGGAGGAAGCCGGTTGATGTTGCCTAGATGGCATGCCGCCGTTGTGTGCCTGGGGTTCAAGCAGGACGCAGGACCTCTGGGGCGGGTGGTCTTTTATCCCCCCCCCCCCCCCCGAGTGTTTGTTTTTACGCGGTTTCTCTTCAAACAAGCGGCAGGAATGAGAACCCCTAGGTGGGGTCTGGTAAGAGGCAACCTTAATTTAGTTCCTCGTGTGTTACTCTGGGCGTTTTTTTGTTTTGTTTTTTGCAGATTTGGAATATCAAGCAGATGATAAAGTTGACGCAGGAGCACCTGGAAGCTCTTCTGGACAAGTTTGGTGGTGAGCACAATCCTCCATCGATATACCTGGAGGTGAGTCTCGACAGTTGATCGTTATTGTTTGAGAAAAATGGGTTAATTCTGGGTTAGTTTACATGCAGATGTAATTTACTCTGTAGATGTGGCTTGTAGATGCTGTAGAGGTCCGACTGTATTCAGATTTTCTTTTTGATGAGAGATGTGGTATGCTGTGGGTGACCATCATGACCTTTAACCTTTGACCTGCCCACTCAGGCCTATGAGGAGTACACCAGCAAGCTGGATGCCCTGCAGCAGCGGGAGCAGCAGTTGCTGGAGGCCATTGGCAACGGAGCTGATTTTCCCTGTCCCGCGTCGTCGCCTGGTCCCAGTCCCGGTCCCGGACCCGGCCCTGCTCTCCTGGACATGAGGCTTGGGGGCATGCAGGGCTTCCCAGCAGCCCCCACCACTTTGGCCGTACTGCCGACACCCACCGACCCCGCCCGCAACAATCCCAAGTCCCCCCAGAAACCCATCGTGCGGGTCTTCCTACCCAACAAGCAGAGGACAGTGGTGAGCGTGAGCTCGTCTACAGTCCGGCAAGATGCGGTCGCTAAGCTAACAGCTACTACCGACTAGCTGTGGTCACTGAGCCAACTCTCATAACAAAGAAGTCTGGTCCACTATGTACTTAATGCATAAATGGGTAAAGTGTAACTCAAGCGTTCATTGTTAGGTGCATAGCGGTAGTTTAGCATATAACCGTATGATCGCACACTCACATCATTTTAATCATTTAAGTATCTTGTGCCCTGCATTTAAAGCTGATCTCAGAATTACTTTATAAGCTTATATGATAAAATTTCTTCCAAGGAATGGATAAAATGAAGAATTATAAGCCAGGTGTGTTTTGTGCCTTAAGATAAGAGTATTTTGGATTTATTTGTAGCTTTTCTCAGATCCATAGTACGAAGAATTTAGCTAACATCTAGCTTGTGACTTTGTAAATGTTTAATTTTGACTCAGTATTGGCACATTTTTGAAAAGCCGGGTATCTGCCCTTCAGATGATATTTTCCCTTAAAACTGTTCTTATCGTGCATCTGTGTGCCTTATCTCTGAAGGTCTCAGGCCTAGTCAGGTGTTAAGAGGAATCCTCCCTGTGTTTGAGGTTAGAAGTACAGAGAGATATCAAAGTGCTCTGGGATCTCGCTGGAACCTGAAGCCAGAAGGTTCTCCATGGAAACTGAACCCATATTTTCATTTCCTTTCTGGCCATGGAGGTCTTCTGAACTAATAAATCCAGGGGTCTGGCCAGAGAAGTTTGCCAGTTTTCTCTGCAGGATGTTGGAAGACTTTCCAGCCCAGGTGAAATGAGTGTGGAATTTAAGAATGTAGGTGGTGTCTTTTAGCTCCTTGGCTTCCAGCCCAGGGTGTACCCCTGACCTGTGCCCTCTGCTGCCTGGGATGAGCTCCAGGCTCTCCTGTGACCCATCTCAGGATAAATGCTTGCAGGATGGATGGATGATCCCCTAACAGTGATGCAGCAGTAGATTTATTGGAGACTTGTGTTGGTGTCTTCTGAAGGACTCACAGTAGAGTGAGGGGATGGTGTTCTCAGCTGGAGTTCCGAGAGTGATGAGCCTTACGGCTGATGGGTTCTTTTCTCCTCCAACTCCCACCCCAGGTGCCAGCCCGCTGCGGCATGACTGTCAGAGACTCGCTCAAAAAGGCCCTAATGATGCGAGGGCTCATCCCAGAATGCTGTGCGGTGTACAGAATACAGGACGGGTAACTCGGCCTATAGAAGCTGTGACTTCTCCTCTTCTTGTTCAGTAGCTGTAGATCATCAGCTGGTCCCCACAACTGAGGTCAAGATGCATGTTTTCTATGCTCCTCCCCTTTTCAGGGAGAAGAAGCCAATTGGCTGGGACATGGACATTTCCTGGCTCACTGGGGAGGAGCTACACGTGGAGGTTTTAGAAAATGTGCCGTTGACGACGCATAATTTCGTAAGTGTGGCCACAAATGTTAAGTCTGGAAGTGCCGTGGCTCCATGGCATCCCTCTGACTTAGCATGACCCCACAGGTGCGGAAGACCTTCTTCACGCTGGCCTTCTGCGACTTCTGCCGGAAGCTTCTATTCCAGGGCTTCCGCTGCCAGACGTGCGGTTACAAGTTCCACCAGCGCTGCAGCACGGAGGTGCCGCTCATGTGCGTCAACTACGACCAGCTGGAGTAAGTGACCCCGTCGGCTAGGGTGGGGTTTCATCTAAAGATGGAGAAGATGCGTTGGGGAGAGGTAGGTCCTGGGAAGCAGGTTCCAGTTTAATGTGGGGGGCTTGGACAGAAATGTGTGTCATGTAGTAATTGTTTTCCAGCGAAGCATGTTGTCATCTTTATTGCCCCTTGATTTTCTATAATCGTTCTCTGCAGTTTGCTATTGGTCTCCAAATTCTTCGAACACCATCCTATAACGCACGAAGACACGTCCTCAGAGGGCACCACACCCGTGTCAGAGCTCTGTCCCTCCATGCCGCCCTCTGACTCAACCGGGTAAGGCAGACTGACCCACAAGCTTTGATAGTGTACTCCATGTCTGTTGGGTGGGGGGGGGGGATTAGGTTTATGGGTTAGGGTTAGTGCTAGACTGGAGATTGTCGATAAGGGGATGCTGAAAGGGGACTGTAGCTCCCAAGTATATGACGCCTCATAAAACGTCATTTTTATAAGTAATCATAAGCTGTAGACTAATTATCATCCATCACACAAAAACAGCCCAACCATTAAAAATTAAACATTGAACTGCAGATGATGTCTCTCTTAATCTGTAATTATTATATTTTAGCGGAATTTCAGGGTTTGGCATAACATGGAATTAATGTTTGTTTCCATTTGAAGAACTGGTCTCCACTGTCTCTTTGGATAAAGCTCACGAATGTAAACATTATGTGACTGCGACTCATGTGACCCGGAAACGTTTGTGAGCCCTTATGCTAACTGATACCTGATTGGGTCTTGCAAGCGTTGCCATGGGAACTGATGGTCATCCCTAAATTGCCCTTGTGTTCTTATTCTGCCCCTGATACCTATATGTGGGGTAAAAAAGATGCTGGGGGTGGGGAAGGGGGGGTGAGTTTTATACTCCTTCACCCTTGTTGTTGATGGTAGTCCTCCTGGTTTGTCTTTCATTCCCAGGTCCTTGTGCCATCCCTCCACCTCCCCGTCCAAGTCCATCCCCATCCCGCAAACCTTCCGTCCTGGCGATGAGGATCATCGCAACCAGTTTGGCCAGAGGGATCGCTCGTCCTCGGCCCCCAACGTGCACATCAACACCATCGAGCCGGTCAACATTGATGTGAGTGACGAGGAATCGCCACCCACCCTGGCTAACTGGAGTCCCGCACTTTTATGACAGGAACGCTGTACTCTATCCAAAATAGCTAATACCTTTCCTTTCCTAGTAACCCTAAAAGCACATGCTGATGTTTAGCTGTCTGCTCTTCTTTCAGGACTTGATTCGAGATCAAGGGTTGCAGAGGTCAGATGGAGGTAAGGACGTCGTGTTTCTTCGTTGTTTTACCGAGGCTACTTGTGTGTGTTTCTTTGTTTTCTGTGGCATATTGATGTGCCTCAGTGGGAGAGTGAACTTTAGCAGGTTCACTTGGGTTGTTCTGTCATCTCTCATTTCTCCTTCAAGGTAGGAAGACCACACCGTTTCATCAGTTAGCCGTCATCTTGCTAACTTTGAGTCCCCAGCCACCTGATTCTCAGTGGCCTCTGCTGGGCACCCCAAGGCCTCTGTGAAATGCACCCGCTTTGTATTAATCGTATCTGTTTGCTTCAAAATTTGACTCTGACAATCTCCTTTGACCAAATACTTAAGGCATTGTAATATTTCCTACATTTTGTTAGAGTTCATCAGATAGAACCGGAATGTATGTTGGCTCATGCAGTTCCATTCAGAAATCTGACCCAATAGAAGCAGTGTGAAATGATGTCACTAAGGCCAGTTGGGTGTGGCCACAGAGAAGTCCCCTCCCACCTCCCCTTCACGTCATCATGCCTCTTTTTAAAGGCCCGCTCTGGAGCCCCCAGTGCGCCCGTGTCTTTAAAAAGCCCCCAGCCGTAGAAAGCTGTGCTGGGCGGGGATTCCCCTGCATTGCCCACCCTCCCCTAACACCAGCCAAAGAGCACGCCCCCCACAGGGGCCCGTGGGGGGGGGCTTCCCGGGCTTCCCAGCCCGTGATGTGTGTCTGTCTCTCTTCCTCCCTGCAGCCCCCCCGGGCCAACCTGCTCGCTGCTTGAGGAAGCACCGAACACGGACCTCAAGCCCCCTACTTTACTCCTACCCCAATGACATTGTGTTTGATTTTGAGCCTGGCCCTGTGTTTCGAGGTAGTTAGGCCTTTGTGTCCCAAGCTCCTTCTCTCTCTCCTTTCTCTCTCTCTCCTCTCTCTCTCTCTCTCTCTCTCTCTCATTCTTCCTTTCCTCTCTCCCTCCCACTCTCACTGTCACTCCCCCTCTGCCCACATCTTCACCGTCTTCTGGAGCGTAACCTACCACAGCTCCACATGATCGGTGTTTACCTGACATGTTGTGTATTTGGACGTACCGGTAGTTCCAGAGGCCTCCTAAGGAGAACACGAAGGTTCCATAAAGCTAAATTCGGTACAGTGTGGTTCCCCGAGGTGGCTGACCGTCTGACGGTATTTTAGGAGGTCTGAGAAGCTGTTTTGCAGATACTGCTCTAGGGTGGTCATCTTGCTACATATTTCATACATGAGGCTAGTCCAAGGGTTAGAATTTCTACGGTGTTAATAATATGTTTTTTTTATAGTGTTTATAATTTTATAATTATCTTCAATGTCAAGTCTGTGCTAAATATAATAACTAAATTATTGACTTGTCATTATATGTAAGAGATATCTAGCTCATTTTTCCTTGGGTGTATAAAGTTTAATTCGTGAAAAAGCAGATTGTAGGCATATGAAATGAGTGGTGATGGATCTACGCAGGAGGCTGAGGTTATTCTGGCATGAGTGCGAGGACATGGGGGCTGGTGTCAGTGTGGATAGCTGGTGGAACCCGGGGGTTCTGACCCGTGAGCCTTGTCAGCATGTGATGATGAAGAGTCTCTGGCACGGAGAGGATGAGTGCAGCTGTCGGTCCTGTCCAGGCTTATGCTAACTGCTAGCAGAAGAAGGGGGTTGAGGTGGCGGAGGGCTTTAGTGTGAGGGTCTCTCAGCTGTAGTGCCCAGGCCTGAGACTCCTCTGCTGTTAGACTCCACCCACCACACCAGGTTGTGTGCCCCCTCCCTCTCCAGAAATCCCCCACCCACCCACCTCCGCACCCACACCGCATGTATTTTTTGTGACACCCACCCTCTCAAATCCACACCTGTGTGAACAATGCAGTCAGAGTAAACACAGAAT